CAACCCTATACAATATATATATATATATATATATATATATACACACACACACATATACATGATTCATATATACATTCATACAAACCCAATACAAAAATTATATATATATATATATATTTATATACATACATACATATACATATAGGGGTTGGTTCATATACTAACCAAGATTTTTGTGTTAACTTTGTTAACCAAGCTCAACCAATCATATTTCATCTTTTCTTTAGGTTCACATATAACTCATATACTAGTTGTGTATCCGTGCAATGCGGCGGGAGCCATGAATTTTAACAAATTTTGAAGTTCTACTGGTTTTATAAGATAAGATTTAACGATGATATAGGTTACACTTGGTCTTTACATATTAATACAATTTGAACAAATAAGAGTTATGGTTCCAATTACAGACTATCGATGAAGAAAGTTGTATGACAGTTTAAAATCCAATATATTTAAAATTCAACATATTTAAATGACACCACAAATGTATTCAATTTACACCAAGAGTAAAGAACTAAGAAACTTAAGTTTTAAGATAAACACTCAAAACCAATAAAGAAACTACAAATTTGACAGATCATAAGCCATGAAAAGACAAAAAAATGATGGGTTTTAGAATGAAATTTCAACTACTTACTCTCTTTCTTGTCCAGAAACTCAGAAAAACCCAAGAACATATTAATTCAAAACATATTATACAGTGCAATTTGGACAGCCTAACCCCAAAATATATAGTATATATATATAAATAAATAACTATAAAAGTATAAATCGTAAATATTAAAAATATTTTTTCACAGTATATATAATATATAATAATATAATTAAGTAAAAAACTATTCAATATTGGACTCATTTCGATAGTATTAACAAGACAATTATAATTGTGTAACTTGTTAAAATGAAAATGTATTTTCTAAACATGTTTTAATTGATATACGATTATGTATGTTAATTTAATAAAGGTTTAAAATGAAACATTTAAAAGTAAATGACGTAAAGTAAATTAATTAATTAATTATAGGAGTATAAAGTATAAATTTAAAATTATAATTTTAAAAAAAAAAATCGGTTGTGATAGAGTGAGTGTATGTGAGGGGTGAGTGTATGTGAGGAGAGGAAGGGGTGAAAAGGTGAAAAAGTGAGTATAAAGGGTATTTTGGTCATTTAGTATTTTAAGTTGTTTTTGATAAATTAATCATTCTTGACTTATGAAGGGTATTTCGGTTGGGATTGCTTATAAAAGCTACTTTTTAACTTATTTCAGTTTGTCACCGATGATAAGCTGTTTTTTGGTGTTTGGATAAAAAAACTGCTTATACCAGTGCCAAACCGGTAATAAGCTGTTTTTGATAAGTTAATCATTCCTGACTTATGAAAAACTATTTATTACCGGTTTACAATTTTAACCCTGTTTTATTTAACTCCGGTTTGATATCACATAAGTTAATAAGCACTTTTACAAAAAAAAAACACAAGTTGTTTTAAATAAGCAATCCCAAACATCCCCTAAGACTTTTGACAAATTTGTTTAATAAGATAGTATAGATTAATGACAAGGGTAATTAAGTAATTTGTCATTTTTGTAACTCCCAAATCAATAATTGGGAGTTACAAATATAAAAATCTTAATAATTGATAATTATGTAATATTGATATTTTTTTATACGTGTTCATGTTTTGTAATTTCGATTTATTCTATCCATAATGATATTGATTTTGTAATTGTTAAAGAATTTCGTATTGTAAAGTTTTCGATATCGTCCGAGTAATATGGATAAACCTATTGGAAAACAGATYGACRACAATGAGAATGAAAAGGTTAAAATCGTCTACGACTACAATCGAAATTCGAATTCATATGTAATTGTTAAAGAATTGTTCACAAGTGTTCATATTGTGTTCATAT